GGGGGGCAGACAGACATACAGACAAACAGATAGACAGACAGACAGAGAATAAAAGAGAGAGAGAAAAAGAGAGAGACAGAGAGGCAGACTCGCAGAGAGGTGGGGGAGGGGGGTTGATAGGGAAAGAGAGAGAGGGGGGAAGAAGAGACAGAGAGAAAAACAGGGAGAGACAGAGACTGAGCCAAACAGAGAAAGACAAAGTAGAGACAGATATAGACAGAGAGAAACAAATACTGCCTGGTGCTTATTGACCCGCCGCCAAGATATATACCTACACAAGAAAAAATAACTTTTTGGCGCCAATAATGGAGCCCGGGTCTAGGTCTGGTCACTGTGTCTGGACAACCATAAGCAAAACAAGTCGTGCTATGTAATATTTATGTCTGTTCTGGTCATTATCTCATTCTGTTCTCCTTATTTCTTTGTTTGCAGCGACGTCCTGTAGTTCTTGTATTGCTTTGGTCCATTTCCTAATGTCATTTGTCAGCTACTACCCTTTGCAAACGATTTCCAAAATTAGTTTAAACGCTCCATCAGAAACAACACATACTTATTTCAAAAGTGCATCATTTGTGTGGGGGGGGGGGGGGGTCAGCACACCAGGCTTAGTGGAACACATTGCTAAAGGAGCAAGGAAAAAATGTTCGGACCCATAGAGGGAGGTACGAACCCAGAACATATTGTTGCTTTCAAACCCGGCCAGTCACCCTGCCACACTAGCAAGTGCATGTCTTTCTGATAGCGTGTTTTTCGGACTAATAAATAAATTGGCGTAAAGCGCATAGAGCATGCAGTAGAGCGTTCGTTTACTCAAAATAAGTGCAATAAATAGTTTATTAAACTTAGTTTTCTTCTGGGCTTTACTGTCTTTGTCTGTTTCCACAAAAAATGGCCCACGTCTCTACTGTATCACCCGAGCGCACTCTACGACTTGTTGGTTTTCAAAAGGACACACAAAAAAACTTTATTTCGTCTCTCGTGAAGATTTATATTTTATTTGGGTGCCAGTTATTGTCAATCAGTGGAAGTTGAATATCAAAGTGAGCTCCACAATAAGCTGGATAATCATAATTATGATATCATGAGAAATCCCACTTTTAAAGTCTACAGCGGCGCACCGGTAGAGTCACGTCAACAGTGATGAAAATTATGATGATGATGAGAAGGAGGAGGAGGATGATGATTGTGATGAAGAGAAGGGAGATGGAGGAGGGTAAAAGGAAGGAGGTGAGAGAAGAAGAAGGAAGAGGAGGAGAGGGAGGAGCAGGCGGAAAAAGAGAAGGGAAATAAATATGGCAATGAGCCCGAAGATGACCAAGATGACGAAAGAAAAATAATCATCACAGACATGTGCAGCAATACACCCCCCCCCCCTCCTTTTTCCAGCCAAACAAAAGCGGGAGCAGACATGTCGGACACCAAACTAAAGGTTGGCAGCCATTCCTCCCGAGAACCCTAACACTTATGAGGAGGCTCTCGTGGCCTAAAGGTTAAGGTGTTTGCCTCTCATTCAAAGGTCCCGGGTTCGAATCCCTGTAACGACGGAACAATTTTCTTCTCTAAAATTGTCTCCTTTCACCTCCTTTCCTGCTCTCTAGCAATGCTCTGTCGTCTGCTTTTGTCTGCTCTTTCTGCCCCCACCCCCTCACCTCCTTTGCCTCCTCCTCTGGGCTCCCGACTTTTTCTGCAGCCTTTCTACTGCTACTGTTTGGCTCCTTCTTACTGCTGTCTTTCAGCCATAACCCTGATCTTCGGGTAGGAAAGATCTACACCTCGCCTTCTCGGACAAGGGGAAGTTGGGCACGTTAAAGATCCCTTGGTGGTTTAAACTCGATAAGAGTAGGCTTCGGCCGCCACCCTGGCAAAAATTCAAAATTTCCTACTAACTGAAAAAGTTTCATGTGTCCCTCGCGCTCATATGACCTTATACAGTTGCAAGCGCCGTAAAACACTTACCAAAAATAATAAAATAATAACACTTCGGAAACAACCGATTTTAACTTCAAACCCAGACTTTCTTAGGTCTTTCCACAGACTGGCATTACTGTAGCGGGAAAGATCAAAAGAAACTAGTGTTTGACTGAATAAACCCTCGGCCGTATATATCACTCCAGGCTAATGGAGCTTTTTATCCTAAAAGGAGGAATTAATTTTAATTCAAAGAACGAAAGGAAGCAAAAAATATAATAATCAATGACAGAAGGAGTGACGGGTGAAAGGTACAGGAACACGTATTTTTTATTATGGAGTATGTATTTATGTTTTGAAATTGTAATTGCAACAGCAAACAGCTTAATCACAAATTGGACGGCCTTCAGAAGACTTTCTGTGACGTAAGGCTCATATAACCGAAGACGGTAATAGAATATCCTTATGAGTTAACTTGTCACTCGTAAAGTTGCTGG